ATATATATATATATATATATATATACAAGATAAATACAAAACTTGCAAATAGGGATAGTAAAAAAGTAAGGAAACAAACCTGGAGATACTGTAGACATTATTTACTCAAATCACAAACTCCTATTTTGTCTCCATCCTATTACCTAGAATTACTTTTGGTAGAGTCAAAATATGGATTTTTAGTTTGAGTATATAATGTCTACAGTATCTCCACCCTTGTTTGTTTACTTTTTACAATCCCTATTTGCAGATTTTGAAGTTCCGAGATTTCTATTTATCTTGTCTGCTGACTTTTTTATGCTCAACTATGGGCCAAGGATTACTTGACATGGTAGCTAACTTTTATAATGTAATGATAATAAAATAGCTAATAGCTAGCTGATACGGTTCATGATGATTTACTGTAGCTGTTGGCTATTTGATCGCATTACTTCGAGAGGTAAAATATTAAGCTGCAGTGGAGATTGTCATGGAGATTTGTTGAGAACATAGTAAGCATTTATAGTTTCTGTGTAACTAAATTATCTATATATACTGCATAGCAAGGGGCAAATATATGTCTTAACTACGACACAACCTCCACTAAGCGCAAAAAACATTTTGCCAGTAGAAAATCAGCCTTTTCAAATAAAGCATATACGTCTAAAACATTGCTTTAAATAAACCTTCGTGTCTTTTTAAGTAATTATTCTCTGAATGTGTGTAATAAAATTTAATATTATGTGTACTGATTTTTTCCTCCTTCACTTCATACATAATATAAAGGTTAGCTCCCTAAAGACGTCGATTGCATAGTGTACAAAGCACTGAGTATCTAGATGTTACAGTAATCTAATGTTCATCTATTATTGGCTGATAATTCCTGTTTCACCCTGTACTTAAGTTTTTTAAAGGAACACCAGATATTTGTGACAAAGCTACCTTCAAGAGGCAATGATAACATCGTTTATACTAGAATTGTGAAGTGTTTTAGCTTATGTAAAATAAAGAAGTAACAAATCGACTTTTCAATACATCTACATCTAAGAGTTTGGGTGCAATATACCAAGCCGTTTTCGTTGCAGGCTGGCAAGAGAATAATAATAAGATGAAGAATTAAAAACTGGCTGTTATGAGCAGATTTTCGTTTTCTTGTAAGTCTAAAAT